TTGCAGGCCAGAAGGGAGTGGCAAGAAATATTCAAAGTGATGAAAAACATGGAACTACAACCAAGATTGCTCTACCCAGCAAAGCTATCATTTAGAATTGAAGGTCAGATAAAGAGCTTCTCAGACAAAGAAAAGCTAAAGTAGTTCATCACCACCAGACCAGTACTACGTGAAATGTTAAAGGGTCTTCTTTAAGAAGAAGCTAATGAACAAAAGAATCTGACAAACTAAATGGATCCAGAGACACTGATGCAGACAACAGANGACGATCATATTTCAGAGGGAAGAGGGAAGGGGGTTGGAGGGTGGGGGAGATTAACCAAAGAAGTTATATGCATATATGCATAAACCATGGACAAGAACAATGACGGGGTGAAGGCCTGGGGAGGGGGTGGGAGGGAGGTGGAGCGGGTCCATTAGGGGAAAAAAATGGGACACCTGTAGTGCTTTCAACAATAAAGATAAATTAAAAAAAAAAATTTGAAACCTCTCCAATTTACAAAATCAACATAGGCTACCAAAATGGATCATTTATACCCCACAAAAGTTAACGTGATTGTTGAGCCATTGCTATAGTAAGTGGGGAATTCTCTTTTGTCATGTTGGGCCAGAAGAGAAGGGGTGACCCCTCAGCCACTGCGAGTAATATTGTGGCAGTATTTACACCATCTCCTCTCCTTCTCCCAACCTAGTTCTTTAGGGAACCCAGTGTTATTTTCAGGTCTGAACATAGAGGTTATAATCCAGAGGCCTACAGAATATTTAACATTGCAAATGTGATACGGAACTCGGCGTTATTTTGGTGATGCAGCTGTTGAAAGCTCATGCGTTTCTGGAACGTGAAGAGCATCTTTTGACAATTTGCAATTGTTGTCTAAGCTGTCACATTGCCATTTGCCACAGTTCTGGCTTCCTTCACATGGTGTCTGTAAGACTGGAAAAATCTGCCACCATATTAGCAAGGAGAAACTTTGGGTGTGAAGAGCGACCTGAGGGATTAGGCTCAGTAATCACACTTTGTCTTTGCCAAGTTTGCAGCTCAAATGAAATGCAAGTGGGAAATATTTTAGATAAATTTCTCTGTCTAAAGAGATACAAATGTTTAGATGACCTTGGACAAGTTTTTTAGCCTTTCTAAGCCTTTATATAGTATCCATCAAGGGTGGGGGGTTGTGGTAATACTTAAATGATGTATGTAAAGCACTTAGCACAATGCCTGGCATGTAGAAGGAACTGAATAATTAGCTCTTACAATAATTGTCATCAGTAATAAACATGCAAGAGATGTTATATCCCATAAGCTAGTTGATTATGATGGGGAAAGCAAGGATGCAGGATTAATGAGGTGGTATGTGCTCAGGGTACAATCTTGGTTCAGCTACTCAGTAGCTCTGATCAGCCAGCACTATGTTGTGCTGTAGTAACAAAAGGCAAAAATCTCAGTTGCTTCCAACCCCACATACATTTCTTGTCCATCGAGGTCTAGTTGGGGCTCTGCTCTATATCAACGGCAAGCAGGGAACCAGGCTGTCAGAGTAGCCACTATGTAAGACATTGCATTCAACATGGTAGAAGGAAATAAACAAGAGGCCAAATCACAGAGAGATTCTTAAAACTTCTGCCCAGAAATTCCCACAACACCTTTGCCCACATTTCATTGGCCAAAGCAAGTAACGGTAACTCCTGAATTCAAAAAGTCAAGGATATATGAGAGAGGGGCACTGCAGAAAGCGGCCGGACAGTGCTACAATCTACCAGGCCTCTAAGGGCCTCCACCTTTGCTTCTGTAGAAGTGTGAGCAGTGAGAAAAGCAACTAATCCATGTGGAGACTCTGCCCCAGATGTTATCTTCACAATCTCACTGAGTCCTCTGAACAGCCAGCTAAGGTAGATGTGGAGCTAAGGCTCCAATTTACAGATAAAAAACAAGATGAAGGGATTAAGGAAAAACAGAAAACTCAGGCAGACAACTGTGGTGATTACCAGAGGGAAAGGGGGATGGGGGAGGGAGATAAATGGTGATGGAAGAAGACTTGACTTGGGTGGTGAGCACACAATACAATATACAGATGGGGTATTATGGAATTGTATCCCTGCAACCTATATAATGTTGTTAACCAATATCACCCCAATACATTCAATAAAAACAAAAACAAAAAATACTGAGGCCTTGAAGAGAGATTCGGTACATAAATTGCAGGGCACACACTAAGCACTTGAGAATGTCAGTTCTCTCCCCCTCCCCAGTAGTTGCATAATGCCTTATTTTTGAAACAACTGTTCTAATTGTTTCAGACTCTATCTGCATGTAGGAAGTGTGGTAGGGATAAAACAGGCTGACTGCAGTTGGAGCAGCAAGCCCTCTGGGGTTCTTACTAAATTTCTAGTTTTTCTCTAACAAAATCCATGGGCAGGAGGCCTCTACCCTGGACCCTCTCTTCCTTACCCCATTTAGGCCGGCTGCCTCACCGTCCCAGGCTCCAAATGATTCACTTCTGTCTTTCTCCCCCACTCCTAAATATTAGTTACAGACCCCTGCCCTGCCCCCCAGGCCCCGGCACACACCCGCGCACACACATACACACACAAACGCCAAACCTTTTTGGCAAATCTTTGTAGTAAACAGATGGGCTACCCGTGTTGCCAGGAGACCACTTCATAGGTGGAATCCAGCCCAAAGAGAGTAGGAAGGGGACAGTGTTGTCAGCTCCATGCAATAGTGGTTAAGAGCTCTGATTCTTTTTCTGTCCCCTTACGTTTTTGAGTCCCACTCTGGCTTC